TCTTCAGACATTGCTACAGCAAGGGATTTCTTTGATAATCTCTCCTCTGACACACAAAGTCAACCATCTAATGGCAGTACTGACATAACTTCAGGTGTAAAGGAATCAGAACAGGTCAGAACAGTACATCATTTGTTTCCAGCATACAGTTATGAACATTTAGACATTTCAGATGAATTACAAAGCAGTGTTCCATTGAGCATTGAAGATTCAAATTCTAGCCAAAGTGTAATTTTTCTAAATTCTGACACTACTACTTTCCAAGAATCAATACAAGTCAGTGACAATAAAATGGACCAAAGTGCCATTGATAATCAGATCAGATCAGACATGGAAACAAACAATCAGCATGAAACACAAAACACTAGTGTTCTTTTATCAACACCAGAACATTCAGTAAATGCTAGATCTAGTATTGAAAGTCTTCGTCAGTTGTCACAACAGATGAATGGTCTTATTGGAGAATCCACTGAAGGCATTACAGTACATATCGAAGACAGTGAACTTGAACGTAGAAATCAAGAATTGGCAGCCATGCTAGCAACTGAACTGCAGAAGCGTGAACAGCTTGAATTACAGTTGAAGGGAAATGTAAGTAATTTTCATATGTAGCATATTTTAGCCAGATAACTTACATTTTCAGTTTACTTGCAGTGACAGTATGACAGCATACAGGAAAAGTGATTGTTGTTCTGTAACTTTCCTGGATGCATAGCAGTTACTTTACCTTTAAAATTATTTGGGCTCATGATATCAGAAACTGTACTCATATTTCAAAACTTGTGTCTCATTAACCAGATATGTCAGTAGTTAATACTTTGTTGTTATTTCCATTGAGGTTACTGCTAATCTAGTCTTTATGGCAGTTCAGAAAATTCTTTATGGCTTCTCTGTCAAGGGAATTTCAAACATTTCAGGTGAATATGTCTATGTGGTTACATTTTCAAGTTACTAATATTTGCTGCTTACAACATAAACTAGCTTAAATGTTCAAATAGAAGCCATAGCAAAACAATATGGTGTACTAGTTAGTATATCTTCTTAATATTCTGAGGTCCTAAGTTAATGTTTTGGTTCAGAGATTAACTAATAATGATTATGATTTCCTTTGTATCTCGGCAGTCACTTTCTTCCACACTCCTCCCAATTCATGATTGAAAATAATTCTGTCATTTGATGTCAGTGCTATATGAGCTATGCTGTTGATAATATAATCATGTAATTAAGCATTCCAGTGTGTTATTGATATTATGTGCTAATTAAGACCTTTCACACACATAATATTCTGAAGTTCAAATTATTTTTATTATGGTGACATGTTTTGGTATAATGGTACCATCCTCAGGCCATTCTGTATATTTTCCCAACTTGAGTTAAAAAGGTGGAATTGAACTAAAAATAAAATTAACTATAATTTTACTATTGAAATAATGTTAATCATAGTTAAGTTCAACTTTTTTTACCTCTAATTGGCAAAACGTACTAGACTGCCATAATAAAAAGAACTTGAATTTCAGAGTATTACATGTTGAAGATCTTCATTACCATATAATGTTGATATGTCATTAAATAAACTAAGAAGCAAGTAACCTGGGTTGATATTTATAGTTTGTCTTGTAGTTCAAGTCCATATTATTATTTTAATCTTGGTCTTGCAATTTCTGTATTCATGTGAAGTGAACTTTATAATTGCAGCAGTCAGAGATGTGCCAGTTGCAGTTGGCACTGGATCAGCTGCAGACCGAGTCAGAGGCCAGGGTGACACGAGAACTTGGACCAGTGCAGGAACAGCTCCAACTACATGTGCAGACAGTTGGAATACTTGTAGGGGAAAAGACTGAACTCCAGGCAGCACTCACAAAGAGTCAGAATGTGGCAAAGCAGAAAGCCAGTAAGTACTATATTAGTCACTGATTTCTGTTATAATGGCCATTACCATCATCATCATTACAGATTAAGTTTTTGGCATGTTCTGATTACAAGATGGTTTTAGCCATTTCTTCCATCTTTTTCTGGATATCTCACATTAACTTTCCCTCATTTTGTGTTCACAAGGCAGAATCAGTGTTTGATTTTCAGGTGTTATTTGCTTTAAAAAGGATTCTACTGTATGGGGTTAGATTTATTTTGCTTATATACAAACATGTACTACAATGCTCTACGAAAATGTTTGGTGTTGGCATCTCAGCATTGTGAATCAAATTAATTTTTAAATGTGTGAATGGAATTATTGTGTAAGTCAACCTTTGGGCTGAAATATTCTTTGTATCTACATGAGTGAGTTAAAATGTTTTCCAAATAATAATCTGTTTCTTTGCGCATTAAATCTTTCAGGAGTTTCCACGGAATTTTTCATATTGTTATTCATTCCAATTTTGTCACAGCTAATTTCTAGAGATTAAGTGTTGAAGGAGGTCCAATGTATTTTAGTCCATTTGGACTTCAAGAGACACAACTGATGACAAATTTTCTTCAGCAAAGTTGACAGTAAAAATCTTTGGGTCTTGGAATTTATCATTTTTCAGGTATGTAATAATATTACAAATTATTAGATATGATATTCTGAATAATTATTATTTAAATTGTTCTGTGTAGGTGAAGCTGAAGAACTACAAGGTCGCCTGAAAGCCTCTAGACACAGAGTTATGGACTTGGAGAAGGAAGTTTCTTCATTGCAAGGAACAGTTGAAAGGTTAGAGAAAGTTGCTAATGAGCTTTCGTCTGAGCTTGATAAACTGAAACTTGAACAAAAGATGACCAGTAAGCAGCTTGTGGAGTCAGACGAAGAAAAATTAGAATTGCATCAGAAGCTGAATACAAAAACAAATGATTGTGCGGCATTACAGCAAGAACTGCAAGGAAAAGTTTCTCAGCTTTCATTAACACAGCTTCGAGTACAGCAGGTATGCTTAGATTTTTGTGGGATTTATGAAAAATTGTGTAAATTGGAATAAATATAAAATTCTTAAACTTTCCTTCACTTTAACCCTTAATTCACTACATTAACATTTTCACAACGTATAATACCAGAAACTAAAAATATATTCTTATTCTGAAAGTTAAAATCATTTTCCAAACACTGTGACCTTCCATGAAAATGGATGAAGCATCAGTTTTATGTCATGGGACGTAATGTGTATGAAGAAATATACACATTCTGTCATTTTTACTGAAGACATTTCCACCACTTCAACACACGTTCTTGCTTCTAGGAAGTAAGTACATTTACAGTGTTCTGTTATTCCACATATTACACTGGTTCATCATTATCATAAAACCATATAAATGTTTCATACAGCCACCGTGTTATTTTTAAGGACAGTGACATTATTTAACAAAACTTGTGTCTTTGCCAAGTTCTACCATGAAACAATTTTGTGCTTTTGCTTTAAGTAATCGTAGTGTTCCTCACACACCAAAAAGTTAAACAGTTACTGTTAATGTTTGTATGCTTGAAGGTTGGATTTAAAAGGTTATGATCAGTTAGTCCTGCAGCACCATGGCTTTCCCACCAAATTCCTCTTTTCATACAGTAATTACTCTGAAGCTGGGATAGCTCAGTCAGTATACTGACTAGCTATGGGCTTGATGAATGGGGTTTGGTCCCTGATTGGGGCAGAGAATTTTTCCTCTAGCCTGTGTGTCCTGGCCTGCTGTGGGGTCCACCCAGCCTCCTATCCAATGGGTACCAGGGTTCTTCCTGGGGGTAAAGCGCAGCTGGGGCATGATGCTGACCACTCACCTCCATCTAGTGCCGAGGTGGTGGCAGTTACTAACCTTTGAATTTTTTTAAATTCATTTACCAGCTAAGTACAGTGGACACTTCAGAAACAGATAGACAGCTGGAGGCATTGCACCAACAGAAGGTCTCTCTTGAGAAGCAGGTTGCTGACCTGCAGCAGACAGTGAAGTCTGTTGGTTTAGAACGTGATCAAGCCAGTCAACAGTATCAACAGTATGTACAGCAATTGAATGGCCAGTTGCGGACATTAGCATCAAAGGTACTGACATTGGTGTTGGTGGATATTTTTGTCATCATCATATATTTATATATAAGATGAATGCTGTGTGTGCATTTATTTTTATCTATGCATATATGCCTGTTTATGTCTGTACACCTGTCTGTGTATGCCTCAAGGTGATGTCTTTTAACAAATGCATGTTGGAAAAATATGAATATAACTTGTGTTAGAATTGGCACTTGACTGAAAGATCTTCATAAATGTCTGTATTTATTGAATGCAACATAACACCAAATTAAAAAGTCTTTCAGAAAACGTTATACAAGTAAGATACAGTTGATTTCAGGGCACAGAATGTTGTGCGGATGATGTGAACACATCTTTCAGCCTATATCACTTTATTTTAATCTATGATGACTTCAGCTTCCTGGTTATAAAACATAAGATTGTCTTTGAACCACATGTGACTTTGGTATGTCCACCTTGTAACTTGTAATTATGGCACTCCAGTAGTAAAGTGTAATTTGTGCAATATATTATGCTTCTGTGAACTTTGAAGATTATCATATGTTGATTATTTTATCTGATTTCAATGCTTCTCATTATATAATTTTGTCCATTCTCCTGTTACTTCCATTTTCTTAGGTCCAGTAGCCTTGGGACATTGTACTCAGGCATTGAATTTTTTTTCCAAATTTAATAATCGCGAAGCATATTCTCAACAATAATTTTCTCAGATGTTACTGAACCCACATTTCAAGATTAACTGATGAAAAAGGTATGAAAATTATCTGAGAAAATGTTATTGCATATAAGAATGGGAAAATATTACACATATAATAAAAGTGATTTTCATTCACCAGGTTGAATCCTTAAACTCTGAAAATGAACAGTTGGTAACAAGGGAGCAGAGTTTGGTGCGACATATATCAGAAGTAGAGAAACAACTGCAGCAACAGCAAAACCAAAAACGACCAGACTCTTCTCTGAAACTGTTACAGCAGGACTCACCACTGCTGCAGGAGCTTGAAGCAAAACTTGCACTTACTGAGACAAAGGAACAGGCTCTAGCAGAGAAGCTGGATTCTCAAGTACTGTTAACATAATGTAGATTTCATAACATTGTAGCATCCTTTTTGACAAGTCAGTTGACAGTCCAGTTGGTTAAGAAATTCCCTGACTATTACCAAACCTGAAGGTTTCACAATAATCAGACCTTATTCTGAGCTCATTGAATCCTATGATAATTCCTTTAAGATCCACTTCAATATCATACTCCAAAATGTTTTATAACACCATGATTATTAATGTACCAAATATCCATTTTGTTAGGGACTCAGTTAGGATTAAGGAACACATTACATACTTTTTGTTATTCTTTGAAATATTGGAAAATAGGTGGAATTAAAGTGCCAGAAATTTTTCAAGACAGTATACCAGAGCTGCAGAATGACACAACCTTTGCTGTAATAAAATCAGGTTTCCCAACCTTCGAGCTGACACTTCTGTAACAAGCACAGAAGAGGACAAGGTTCAGATAGCTGGTTCAATGATACATGTTTTTATTTCTATTCTTACAATTCTTTGGGGGTGCATTGTTAAACACTCCTTCTTGCTGAAGTAGTTCTATGAATGGGTGAGAATGAAAAGAGTAAAAGTAGTCAAACCCATGGAGACTTACGGGTCTGTTTGTGCCATTTGGTGTTGATAGCCTTATTTCATGCTAAACATATAGCATTCTTGTAAGCATTGCTTCATGGGACAAAGCCATTCTACACACAGTGCTCTGTTGCCTTTTGAATAGAGGCCCTAGTGGGATGAAATAATTATTTATGTAACACGGGGAACTGCTGGCAGACCAGCAGCACATATAGGATGAAATGAAGCCTCTAATATCAAGAAAGTTGGCACATGATAATGTTTGTGACTTGCATTTGGGAATTATGAATCTCTGTCATGGCACGGACTATCCTGGCTGAAAATTTTTGTGGTTGCTCTCAGTAACTGCAGGTGAATACCTAGGTAGTACCTTCAAATAGAACATGATCACTTTTTAATTCTTTCAAGTTCACTGAATTACTAAACAGGAAAACACTTATTTATTTGTAATATTTGAACATAATAACTGATGAGCTTTTATTATATGAAGTCCTTTTAATGTATGATTTATTAAACTGAAGGTTTATGTGTTACTTCTCTAGATACAAGAAAATCAGTGCTTACAGAGGGAAGTGGAAGAGAAGAATGGCAGAATATATGAAATGGAATCAATGTTAGAAAGGTTTCAAGGAGACCAACCAGATAAAGATAAGCTTTTGGCAGCCATGGAGAGTGACAAAGTGGCAGCAGCTCGTGCTGTAGGGCAGAATCAGCGGCTGAAACAACAACTTGAAGAACTGCAAGATGGCTTTGTTAAAATGGTGAGTCTGACTGTTATTGGAATATCAGGAATACACATAAATCAAATTCAGGCTATGGATGGATTTGAGCAGTGAATAAAATTATGTAATTCATTATTTTCTGTGGCATATATCATACTAGCATATGAAAGAAAACTGAATAAATTTTGGGATTGATACATGATTTTGTAAACATATTCACACTTGTTTTCTTTTAGAGCAATGACAAACTAGAGCTGACTGAGAAATTGCAGCATGAACAATATATTTCTAAGGAACAAGGAGAAAGACTGACCCAGCAAGAAATGGAACTGAATGACTTGAGGTAGATTGCATTATGCTTTTCAAGTACACAAAATTATGGCTAATGTGATTACTTTCTTATTCCAATTTGATACCTGTGTGAGGTGTATACCCATCTTAATGCAGATTTCTTTTTTGTTTACATTTTGGGGAGTGCTTGAAGTGAAATGTAAAGAGTGTATGATTTAAAATTTTAAATTATTTACATGAAGAGGAAAGCTCATTGTTTCTTCCATATCTGTTGGGAGAGAGCAAATTTTACAGTTTTCCTTTATACCAGATTTATCCTATTCTGATTACAAGTTATGAGAAAGGATGGGGTGGAATGAGTCCATCCATAATTGGGAGGTTTCATTTATGTTCAGCCCTTACTTGTTTCCATTTACACATGTACCTTTTCATGCAGATAGAAAATCCTGCTTGATGTGTTATAGAACTCAGTTGTCACAGAAAGAACAAGTACTTCAACAGCATGCTTCACAACTCTCGAATCAGATGTTACATCATAGCCAAATTGCAGATCGTATGAGACACTATGAAGAGCAAGGACAGCTGAATGAACTCTTGCAACAAGATTTGGAGCAGGCCAGGGTAATATAACAGTTTCTTCTATAATGTTATATTTTATATATCAGCCTGGTCTTTGAAAGTACAGTAGCAGATGGCATGGTAGTCTTAGGGTTAAGGCAACAGCCTGCTCTGCTGGAGGTGCTTATTTTTTCAAAAGTTGGCTTCCTATATAAAATTAGTGGTTTTTTTATGTATTTACCAGGAACATATTCAGGCATTAAGCGCACAGAACGGTGAACTTCGGGCCCTCTTAGCACAGCAGGTTACTCATGATGCAGGCATCAACAGTGGAGATGACACAATCAGTCGCAAGGATGAAATGTTGTCAACATTGTCTGCTAGAGTTGAACAGCTGGAGCTAGAGCGTGACCAAATGTTGGAAAAGTTGAAACATCAAGAGCAGCATGAAGAGGAACAAAATTCATTAGGTGACTTAACAGTATAAACTTGTTCTTGGGAAAATATTAGAACACAAAATGGAAATGAAATTTGGAGCTTCATAATTCAGAAAGGTTAGCTGATGGTGTCCAGGTAGTGAAGCTCAAATGGGAAAACAAAACATACATGCAGAATTTTGGTGGGGAAACTTGTTGGAAGGTGACAACATGGAGTTCCAGATTAGGGATCGGAGTATAATATTAAAAAAGATTTCATGACATTGAAAGTAGAGTTGTCCTGCTGCATGCCATGGAGGTGATTACAGGTAGAGAAGCTATAGCTCCTACGTGTTCTTGACCATGGCACAAGATGAGTGGTCAGTGTCAAGCTCCATTTGCTCTTTACTCCTGGGGGAAGGATCCCTAGTGTTCACACAGTAGGAGGCTTGGTAGGCCAGAGGGCCTGTCTTAATGCAGACTAGAAGAAAAATCTTTTGCCTATATTGGGGATTTAACCCTGGTCATCCAGTCCATTGTCATTAGTCTTGGGATTTGTTACAGCTTGTAAGTGTGCATTTATGTACTATACTGTATGGTACTGTGCCCAATGTATTCCACTTTCTTCTAGCTTCTGACATTGTCAATGCAAGGTTAAGTAGAGATGGAATCCCAAAAGATTCTGACTCGATGAAGGTAGCCATGGAGAAACTGGAGGAAAGATTTACAAGAACAATGAAAGAAGTTGCTGAACTTTCTGATGAAAAACAGAGGCTGGAGCATCTTGTGTTACAGTTACAAGGAGAAACAGAAACTATTGGTGAGATATTATCTTTTATCATGTTATGTATGATTATGCTTCATTATCCCAAACTGAACATTGTGGTTGAGTGGATTTCACTCCTGTGATGTTTTCCTGTACATGATAGTAAATGTTCTGTCTTAAAGTGGATAAAGGTAATACTTATGTGAGATTCATGTTCTTTTATTCTTTCAGGGGAGTACATTGCCTTATATCAAGTGCAGAGGAGTATCTTGAGGCAGAGAGCTCAAGAAAAAGATGAGCAATTATCAAAACTTTCCAAAGATAGGGAGGAAATGCGGAATAAGCTGAGTGAACTGAATGAGTTAGTACACAAACTGGTGGCAGAGAAGGAATCCATTCATAAGATGAGTCACAGTATACCTGTGGAACATGTAGTTGAAAAAACATCAATTAATCATAAACAACCAGAAGGAGGAGGTATTATAAAAAGAGAACTGAATAATTTTTGATCACAGCTGAACACAGACACCTTTCTTTCTAAAGAAAGTACTTTAATGTGATTCTTGTTCACACATTATAATTAATACTAAATAAAAATTGTCACTACAAAATTTCAGGAACTAGATCTGTTTCTGTCCTGGGTGATTTATTGACATAAAACTGAGTCTTCATTCATGTTTTATTTCTTGTGTTGGCTGCTGTGATCAAGCTCGTGATCCTTTAGCTCTTTGCAGTATTGTTTATGTACTGTGGTTTACTATGTTGGTCCACCAGGGAACATAAAGTTTACTGCATTCTGCAGTGTTGGGCATAGAAAAGAGTTAAATAGTAATCTAGTTGATGGCAAGTTCTTGTGAATACAGTAATGAACCTTTGGGTTTCATAAGAGGCAGTGAATTTCTAGACCGTCTTTGAGTGAATATTAACTTTTCAGGAAGGACTCTACTCCATTCAGTTGTTATCCTAACCACCAGATTTGACTCCTTTGACTACCATAAATAAAATAAAATATAACAACAGTTATGATAATAATAAACTGTTAATGTAAAGACCTGGATACAGGGGGAAAAATGTTAAATGTCATGTAGATCAGAAATATGTGCATTTTCTAGAAATTGTCAGTAACTTAATTTTGTAATCTACAAATGAAAGCAGTGTTTTGTACAAGTCACACATTCAGTATTTCAAAACACATCAGTATTGTCCATATCAGTTTGTCTGTGGTCAATAGTGATTTAGGTTTGGCTGTTACAGCTTAATTTGTGTAGTGGTTATGAAACATCCACTGGCCAAAAAAAAGTTCTTTCTGTGCGGCAGTGTTCACTCCATTGTTACATGTGCTCATACTGCGTGTACAAAAGATAAATGCTATTTTGGATGGTAGTACTAAGCTAAGCATTTGCTGAACATAGCATACTACCTTCCCTCCTGACTCCCCATCAGTAAGATACCAAGATAAACTTAAGCCAGAGAATATGAAAATTGAAACTGTCAATTTAACTTTCAGGTGTACCCAATGGTGAAATTGTGGAAGTTGAGGATGCAGTAGAGGTAAACAAGACACAGCAGATTCCACCATCAGGAAACCATCATCCACCATCAGTGCAACCAGACACAGCAGGCAAGATCATGGCTCTGCTGTCTGAGATTGGGAGCAGCAGTCTTGTGGATCCTCAATGTAGTGAAAACTTTCATCCCTGCCCATGGTGCTCAGGAAGACTTATTACAGTATAAAGTAGGTTTGTACAAATGTTGCCTTATTTGTATTTGTTTCACTATCAGAAGTGGAAGTGATGAACTATATCTCTTTTGCACTTGAAAATGAAGCCGATGCATAAGAGACTGTCTAGACGTTTTAAAGACAGTATGGTTTATTTGGTTATTTGTAAACCTACAATAGGTACAAGCTGTTACTCTGTAGAGGAAGCTGTTGTACCTAGGAACATAATTTGTGTTGTTATTGGTTCATCCCAAATAATCTGTACTCTTTAATATATTAGTGATCTTTCAAATTGGCACAACCTTACAGTGTATGCTTTTGAAGTATGTAGTGTGTTAAAATACTAACATACTCATACATAATTGAACTCTGTGATTAATCCTGTTGACGACATTTCCCATGTTATTATTGTAATGGTGAATAGTTCTACTTTGTACTGATCAATGATTTATTTTGAGCCAGGTTTGGATTGCTGATGTTAAGTATGTTAGCTGGGCTAACATGGATAACTTGAACACTCCACGCCTGTTTTGAGCTCTTACAATTCAAGGTGTAAAGTGATTATGAGGTATTGGTAATGTACAGATATTGATGGTGCTTGAAATTGTACATTAGAATGCATGGATATACATTTTTAATTAATAAAACTATGTTGACAATAAAAAAACCTTTGGATCTGAATGATTGCTTTCAATAGTCATATGCTATTCTGAATACTCTACAAACATCCTAAGTATGACGTAGAAGTGAAGTTGTTCCTATGGCAAGGTATCATGCCATAAGAGTGGAGGTAAAGCTCCATGTACAGTATTTTTAATTCTAGGTTCTTGCTGTGCTCCAGCTGCTTTATTCCAGGGAGATGACCGGTACCTACTGACTTAGGTGGTTGTGCCTCAGGACTGGTTTTTATGTGCTTTTAAAGAGAAATCTTCCTTCTTCCAGGGATCTACCCCAGTCTTTCAGCCAGTAGCCAATCATTTGCTGATTTAACTATTCTAGTACCTATCCAGAAGTATGAGACAAATGATCACTCATTGCTTATGTTACCTGCAGTGATCTTGTCTGGTAACTTTTCACCGAAGGCTGTCATACCACATGGCACAGTTCCCATTACATAAAGGAACATGAATTTAATGTTTTATATTTTAACCCGCATTTACTCTGCTTATAAAGATTCCTGCCAAACTCCCTTATTATTTTGACCCATCATTGATAGAGTTGGAAAAGCATCACTTTTGAAATCCTTGGTCCTCATTTCATAACCTTATGGAGAATGTCATCTGGAAAAGTTCAAGGAAATTTTATGATAGTTCAAAATACTACCTTGACAGAAATTTGCAACTGTTGTGTGTGGAATTTTATGCTACAGATTTATGTCTTCTGGGTTGTTGCGCTGTGTAGTCTGGTTGATGTTAGCCAATGTTTCAGAGGTCATATTGACTCCATCATCAGGGCGATGAGTATGAAGATTTCTGTCTTCTGGGTTGTTGCGCTGTGTAGTCTGGTTGATGTTAGATAACGTTTCAGAGGTCATACTGACTCTGTCATCAGGGAGATTAATGTGCCAATGCCAACCAACCAACCACATCGGGAGTTCGGTTTAAATGTGCTCCCGGGGCCCTGAAAAGGGCTAGTTTAGTGGTCTGGTTGGTTCTGGCGGTGAACATTTGCTGGCTCTCGGAGTCCTCGAAGGGTGTAAATAAGAGGCTTTCAGGACCGGCTCAGGTGAAGTTCATCTTCTCTGTTGAAGTTATCGGGGTGTAATTCGATCTCGATGCCTTCTCTGACTATCCGATCCATGTAGCCGACTTTTGCGGAGAGGACAGAAGTGTCCTCGAGCTGTAGAAAATTCCCAGGTTTCTCCGGCCGGTCAAGGACGACCTGGGACTGAAGACGCCTGGCATATACAGCGTCCCCTGCGAGTGTGGCAAAGTCTACATCGGACAAACAGGCCGTTCCGTTGAGGCCAGGGTCAGGGAGCACCGCTGTGAGAACCTCAAGTCTTACATATTTTATTTATATTTGCATTAAAAACAAGTACTGTATTTGTGCTAAGAAATGATCTTTGGCTCAGACCTATGAAGGATCAGTGGAATGCAAATACATTTTATTTTATTCTGTTCGTACAGGTTGCTACACCGCAAATTAGACTTTTGGTCTGCTGTCATTTTGGGCCAGATAAGTGGAGAATAGCCAGAATTTAATGTTTCTTCAGTTTTGTGGATGATCATCATGGATAACTATAGTCACATTATTTAGATTTAATAAATTTACACTGCTTTGGAATCTGCACCCAAAATGACTAAACTGAAGAGAACTCTGATAATTTATGAATAGTGCCCACCAGCTCTCACCAACTAACCTAATGAAATGCAACCCAGAACTAGTGACAAGCTCAGACATTGACAACTTTGAAACCAGATACAACGTCAAAAACGAAGTCGACGTCAAATTATCGTTAATGACCTGTATTGTAGAACAAAATTTATATTTGATATATATTTGAATAAGTTATATGTGAAATATATAAATACCAGTTGTAATAAATGAGGATGCCTAGGTTTAAATTTTTGTGAGAATTTCCCACACAAAATTCCATAAAAATCCAATGAAAGGTTTAGCATTTCACACTTGCAAGATTGACAACGTATGCCTATAAAGCTGGCCACACACACTCCTGTTTTCTGTTCATTTTCACTGCACGTTCGTAAGTCAGAAGGTACCGGGTCTCCAATTTATGCGGCGGCGGTCGTGACTTGCATTGCGTAGTCGGCCGACGCACGGTTCTTTAATTGCTTCTGCATGCGACTTTTACCTGTGGGGCATGCTGAAGAAAAAAGTGTATGTAAACAATCCGCACACTGCAGAAACAATTAAAGAAAATATTCGACAATTTCCCAAGAAGAGCTTCGTCGAGTATTTCGAAACATGTTAACGAGATGTGAAGTTGCCTGCAAGCACAAGGAAGTCACTTTGAACATCTTTTGTGATTTAAGGTAATAACAATTAATGTAATAACATGTATTAGTGACGAGAAATATTCGCAGTTCGCTGTTACTAGCGGCACTGAAACTGATTCGCCGGTCACCCACCGGAAGAACGGGCACGACTCCCGCCGACATCAACAGTGCGTCGGCCGACTACGCAATGCAAGTCACGACCGCCGCCGCATAAATTGGAGACCCGGTATGATGGGGGTATAATCACTTAACACACTTAAACGACCCGTTCATCAGCTCGCCCGCGGGCCCCAGCATCTCCATTCCTCTCTATCCCGTGCTCGGGTATAATCACACCATAATTAATTGCTCAACTCAAAGGAAACTGACCTTGCATTTTCTAAGGCAAGACTGCATACAAGTTGCAGAATTTGACTTCTCACTATTGAAGGAGCAGTCACATTGCTCTAATGTCCCCACAGATGCTCCATCTTACCTTCATACTTACGAGCACACAGACAAAATGATTAGCAAGAAAGAACATGCGACAGGCCACTGTGTACTTATCGCCTTAACCACAGCCTTTATAAGCATGTAGGCAATGTGATGAGCAACAGGAAGAATGTATGGCCACATAAATACATCTTTTGCTTTCTATGGAAGTTTCTAAAACTTATCTAATATAAACCTCATGTTTCAATAAATCAATTGCACTTCTTCTTCCATCATTCCTTGAAAGAAAAGTATTAGTTTGGAGGCATCTGTAAAATTTGATCATATCAAGTGCAAGTATTCTGTCAGCTTTTGTTTGGACTATACTGATACTCTGATGATAATTTACATTTATTGTCATGTAGTATAAAATTGTAAGATTTGATGTTTTCACAGCGATGAGTATGAAGATTTCTGTCTTCTGGGTTGTTGCGCTGTGTAGTCTGGTCGATGTTAACCAACGTTTCAGAGGTCATACTGCCTCCGTCATCAGGGCGATGAATGTGTCAATGCCAACCAACCAACCAAAAAGCTAAGGGCGGAGTCCTGCGCAAGCATCGTCCCTTGCTATGTAACACCATTCCTGCATACGAAACACATTGCTGGAAATGGTAAACAGAGCCTTATAAGTAAAAACGGAAATTTTGCTCACGCTAACAGGGTTCCGTCGTCGACCATTCAAACTGGGGTCTATTGCTGCTGATGGCAGGTTATCCCGTCAGGCAACTTGTCCAAAGAATTTGGTTGGTTGGTTGGATCTCTGAGGTTTGAACCCAGAGAGGGAGGGGCCGTTTCGGCTGAAGGCC